CGGATCGGCGTGCCGCTTAACCGGCCCGCGCCTGAAGGAAGGCGCACGTTCGCGTAGCTACTCCTGGTGAAATCCAGGCAAGCCCCGAGCTCCTGCTGTCCCTTCCCTCCCCCTTTGATATTCCGGCCGTTATTTTCTCAAGGCAGCAGGCGGCCTGGAGTCCACCTGCATTTCTCTGCTGGCGACGGAAAAGAGCACACGTCTTGTAACAAGTGATTATTAGCAATTCACAGTAACTGCAATTAGCCAAAGTCAACACGGAAGAACTGCTGTATAATCGAGTAAAGAGACGTTCAGGTTGAAAAAAACCTGAAGTGCATGACTGGGAATTAATTGCCTGGCCCACAGCGGATTTTCCCTAAGCTGTCTCGTTCCTTCAGTAACTAACTTCGGGAACAGAACTCTCTCCAGGCATCATTGTAGGAGTGATTCTAAAAGCAAGATTGCATCTTCCAGCAGAACTTTTTTTTTTTTTTTAATGTAATGTCATAATTAAAACAGACTCCCCCAGACTTGGGAACTATGTCTAAGGGAGGAGGAAGCAACGATTTATGCTTCCGAGATTCCTGACCGCAGTAAAACGATCACTCGTTGTACCTCTAGCAGAGCTTTTTGCTTCTAGATTACCGTCATGTAAGTGAAATTTTGTCATTTCCGATTCTGAAAGCAAAAGGGAATATTCTTACTACCCTGACGCCTGGGTGCAAAGCTCCACACACCTGGCGAGAATTGAAGTCGCTAAAAATCACATCTGTGCTGTTCTTCGTGGAGTAGAAAGACATATGATGTCCAGACCCAAACTATTTTTGCCCTGAACACACTTGGCTGCCGTCACATTTCCGAGTTCTCACAGCAGAAAATCCTCATTTGTTCTAAAGTTCCCAATATACACATAAATCCACATAGCTCGGTCTACCGCATCTCTCTCTCTTCTCTGTGTCTACGTTCTACAGGCATAACTTATGCATGTATATGTGTATCCATGCATTCGTACAGAGCATGCAAACATACATACAGCTAGATACAGAGGCATACACAAACACGCTGCGTTGTGTGTGTTTGTCTATGTGTCTGTGGAAGACTGTACTGTAGGTCCCTCTCCGGAGCCGCACCGATTACATGGGTCTGCGTCTATACCTACATCGGGATGCCCGTGGTTCCGACCACCCCGAGACCAGAAGCAGCGCCGAGCCCGCTCCCTCCGTCTGAAGAGAGCACCTCCAGCGCCCGGGGGGGCCCCATTCGGCAAGTGAGTGTGGGGTTTGGGGGTGGGGGCACCCCCCAAAACAGCGGGGGGAAGCTGCCC